TATATTATTTAGTAAGGGAGGTTAGTATTCCTTCCGGTCGGACGACAGACAGATAGTCTGATAGTGGCTTGTTATAAAGGAAAAACGAAACACACATTTATGCCCCCCCCCCCCCCGTGGTACAGCGGTATATCTGCGGACTTACAGTGCTAGAAACTAGGTTTTGACACCCGTGATGGGCAGAGTACAGATAGCCCATTGTGTAGCTTTGTGTCTAACTTCAAACATGTTTATAAAGATAAAAAACAGCTAATGTGCAAGTGAAGTATTTAGTATTTTTATCAATACTAGATATGAGCCTCCATTGCCACATTTTGTGTTAGTTGAATACGAGAAGTCAAACATAATGAATACTGACAGTAAATAATGTATCTTAATACTCTTCATGTTATTTGCAACTTGTGATAAATTACCTTTCAAATGTTTTTAAATATAAAGTATGCAACATTGTGTGACAAATATCTTATGTTTTTATGATAGTATTACTAAAACAGAATGGGGACAACATAAGCCCATCTTGTAATATAGTAATGAGCCTGTCTTCATTGAATTTGCAATAGTCTCAGATTGTGCTGATGCATATAGTTGATAAAGATGAGTAGCTGCTTGTCTATCAATTGTTGGTTATGAAAGATAAACCTTCTTAGAATAGAAACATGGTTGAGACATTCAGCTTACCCTCTTAAATCTTCTGTGGGTAGATGTGGAAAAATTATATGTGGTATATTAATTATCAGAAAGACTGCCCAAAATGAACCACTGCTTATTCCATGTGAACTTTGAAGTCTTTTGTGAATCATAAGTGCTCATATGACATTGGTTCTATTTACCTAGGATTTTTAATGAGTTCAGGATTATCCCAACACATTTAACGTGTGTAGGATTTCTATGTGGCTGGATTTTGCATACAAACTGCAAACCTATAAGTTTCTCATCTCAGCCATGAATGCAAGGCTTTGACTCTCATGGTGCATTAGATATCAAACTGTGGGTGAATAAAAGTGGACAGCCATCAGGTGGAGTGTTGATTCTCACTATTCATTGTTTAATTTGAATAGACATTTTGGGTTTGTCAGCAGTTTAGAGAATACTGTTTATAAACGTGTTATTCCAAATATAAAGAGTGGTGGAGACAGTGTCATATTGAGAGCCTGTTTTAACTGACTTGGACTGGCCCACTGTCAGTAGTTTAGAAATCCACAAGTGCCTTGTTATGTTATGAGATTTTGGACAATGCTGCACAGATGGAATTCTCTTGGGAAAGATTGCATCAACCATAATGTAGAAGACTTGAGTTTCCATAAACTACATTATTACAGTAATTGTGAAATTTTGATTGTATATATTTTTTGCAAACCCTAGGATGCTGTAACATTATTAAATACTGCTGATAAACTTTAAATATTCAATTTTTCTTGCTGTTTTCAACCTTTTGAGTACCATGTGAGTTTGTTAGCTTTACAGAGTTTTGTCAAAAATTATATTTAATTAAAATGCTGTATTTATTTGCATAAAACTTTTAGTTAAGATTTAAAGTCATCGTACACTTGAGGAATAAAAAGACATTTTTGCCGAAACTTATATTAATTCATCATATTATGTTAATTTTTTTTTAGTACATGAAAGTCCTAAATGTTTTGTTTATCTTGTATCTAGTCCTTTCTTGAATCACAAAGAACAATAATCACACACCTAAACTCAAAATAACAAAACATTACCAGAGGGTGGAAATAGTTTATTCTTATAAATCCATAGGTTTGGTTTGTTTAAGACAGGTAAAATAAAAAACACAAGGTGGTTAAGAAATTGTTAGTTGGTTGAAACTGATAAATCACAAACATTGAAAAAGGAAGAAAACTTGTAAAATGAGAAGATGGCTATTTTTTAGATGTCTGGTATCCTCCTTTTGAAAGATGAAAACGTGGGCCAGGATGTCTGTGCTTATATTTGTATGTCACGATCAAGATAACTAATAATGTATTTGGTTATGCAGTTATCCTACTGATTTTACTATGCAATAGCTTTAGACTAAGGATTATTAAATATTATACAGAATGGTATTCATGATCTATGGTAACAACCTCTCCTTCCATCCCTGATAGCATTCTCTGTGATGGTGTTGTTTATGTACAATTTCTCACTAGTGCAATTTCCACTGTGGAAGGCCATTTGTGCAACCACTGAAGTCAGTGTTACCCTTTCTTTAACCTTTTCATTATTTCCAAAGTATATCAGTCATGCACAGACAGATATACTTTTGCTAAGGTAATGGCATATGCATATTTAACTTTATCCTTTGTCAGTTACCACTGGACAGTTTGTCTTCTATTCAACTATGTACTTTGAGAGAAGCTTGTGAATCTAGGCTCTTATGACATTTGTAGATCTAACCCATATGAATTATCTTGTATGAACTTCAAAAGGACTACTGTGATTATTAAAAACTCAATAATACAACATTAAAATTTGCGCAATACTTTAACAAAGTTTTTTATTAAAGTCACCAGGCTTGGCTTAACAACTGCATGTTTTGTTGGGTCACAGACTCACTGTCGTTAGGATGGAAAAAGCAGTAAAGAACTCAGTACTGTTTATATATCTTTCCAGTTTTTGTATAATGCAAGAAACATGTAGAAGTTGTTTGGTAATATTGGTACCTTTAATAAAGTTTTTTAAAATATTATGTAAATTTTAATGCTGTCATATTGAGTTTTTAATAAGTACTTAACACAAGATTGGTCTAATTTGATTTTAATTTTAATGACTACTGTGTTCTTGGGTTGCATCTAATGTTTAATTTTTTTCACTTCTTCTAGTGTACAACTTGCAAATTGTTGAGGAGTAACCTGTTTTTTTCACTGCTGGTATCATTCCTTCCCTTGCTATACCAATATAATTCAATAGTAGAGATATTTTCTTTCTTCAAAATGCTATTATTTTGTGCCTTACATGATTTTATAAACACAGAATACGAGGACTTCATAATCCTATTATGCATCCCTTCAAGATATGGTCAGTTTCAGGTGTTTTCTGCAGTCACAGGCCACAAGAATGGCCATGGGCCAGTTATAGTATATTTTTATTGTTACCAAAGATTGTGAACAACCCTCTGTTAATACTAAATTGATATCTTATGCTTTCTTAAATTTTTTACCACAGTTTTGATAATCCACATAAATGTGTTTTCACTTACATTCACTGTACAAGAACAAAATATATGTATGACTTGTTGAAGAGATTACATTGGATGCCTTTATGGTAGGAGACCTAATTGATTTCTCAAAAAAGACTGAAATAATTTTAGAAGTATCTTTTTTTTTTTCAATGAATTTTTAATGGATTAGAGTAACTGGTGTCTAAGTCTTAAAATTATTGCCTCTGATATCTGGGCTGTGCATGAACTAATGGTTAAGATGTTCATACTGTATATTTGAGAGACCATGGTTTGCAGTAAATTCCTTAAAATCACACTCCTGGACCTGCACACGTGTTCCCAGACGAGGATGGCAGGACAGAAGCCATTTTTTTCCTTTGCTTCCTTGTCTTGTGGTGAAAATGGTAGGGACACTCCCCCTACCATGGACTGGATGATAAATACTTGATGCCACCTGGTTTCGGACTGGAGTTAACCTACTGATTACGGTCTAATGTGTCCTAGCGACTCTACACCATTTGGCACATCCATTCGACTATTGGATGAATTTCCTTTCTACAAAAATTAGTTCAGATGTGGTGTCATCTCCAATTGGTGAGTTCCTCTACAAAAAGGTGTCACACTCCATGTGTTCTCTTTGGACACTTTCTGAAGGGTGCTAATATAGTTGAATTTTGGAGGTAAGGTATCGTATTGGAAGTTATAATTTTCTTAAACTGCAAATGTATTTCCCATAGATACTTACCTCTTCTTGCACTTTCCACCCTTCCCCCCTACTCCTTTTTGGCCTAATCTCAAAGTGAAGATTGTTCTACAATATAGAGGGAGCTAACTGTGTCAGGAAGGTGTGTAGCACTCCTATTGGTGGAGGGTTGTGGCATGCCTATTTGCATGCTACAGCACAGCTGTACCACATTAAACATGTGGGATAGGTAAGAGTATCAAGGCTAGTGGCAAGGAAAACATTTGTACATATAGAGGGCAGCACTGAAGAAGAAAAGGTATTATGTGAGAAGAGGAAAGTATCTATTGGAAATACATTTTCAATTTATGTAAATTATAACTTTTGACACTACCTGAAAATGTGCTGTTTCTTTTTTTTATGCAAAGTACGAAATAGACCATTAGTTCCCTGTTCATAACAGGGAATCAAACCCTCAATTATATTTTTGTAAGTCAGAAACTTACAGCTGATCCACCAGGTGAAACAAAATATGCAGTCAATTTTTTTTTATTTAATAACATAAAAGTGTTACAACATTTTCCATGCTATCTTATCACCATTGTAGTTTTTGAGTTCTTTGCTATAAACACAGAGGTATCTCTTCTTTTCAATGTCTTTATACAGTTGTCGTAACATAGCAGTGAGTTAGTTAAGTGTAGGAAGGTTCCTAAAATGCAACCCTGCCGAGAGAAAAAAAGTAGTGCTTAGTAAAAGTTTGTAGCTCTCCTAGTATAAAGAAAATTGGTTGACAGTCAGAACTATAAGCTGTCTTCTGTCTAGTCTGTCATTTCAAAATTAGGGACAGATATGTTCAGATAGTTCTTGTGTATCTTTACACAAAAGTTTTGAAACAAGCAAACAAACGGTACTGATAACCCAGGAAAATGACTTTCCATTTTTGTAGCCTTAAGGCTCATGGAAGGAATAAAAGATTTTATTTCTATAGCTTTTATTTTCTTCTCTTTTTCAATAATTCTATTGTACATAATAATTTAATAAAAGTATTGCTTTTTTTTTTAAACCTCTGTCAGGAGCTACTTTTATCATTTCTCCATTATTGTTGGCTCAGCATTTTCTGTACAATAACATCAAATATTTAATTCTTTCAAAAACCCATTTTAAGTAAAATATTCATAATTTTGTTTTTATAAGTAACATACACTATTGATTTCATTGATTTGAGTGAGAATATGTATTTGTGTGTGTATATATGTATATAATAATATTGTTTGCTTTTACTTAAGTTATATTTTCTCTAAATAATGTTGATGCTTTTTCTTCATCTTCAGTTTTATTTTATTTTTATCTGTGGTATCATATCTCTGATTTTTGACCAATCAGCTGTTATGTTTATAGAGTTTTGAATGTTGCATAAACTGTTACACTTTAGCAGTTTTATGTTAGTCATAAACCTGAAGAAGGGCATTCTTCCACAATATTGTGCAATTTATTGAGATCTTTCATTATGTGTTCGAAATTGTCATTCAGCTTTCTTCTCTAATCTTAGTGATAACATTGCTGGTTTAACCTTCTATAATTTACTTATAAATTTAGAACCTGAAATCTACAAATAATACCTACAAATAATCTACAAATAATACAAAGGTACACAAACAATAGAGATATTATTTGACACATTTAAAAATAATAAATCTTTAGCTGAGATATTGAAGTTTTGGTGATTTATGAGCTGAACTTGTTTTTTAGAAACTGAGGGTTTTAAGATTGACACTATGGGTACTTACCATGGAATGACTCTGAAGTCTGTGACAGAAGGCACCCAACCAAAACGTGCTGCACCACCTGTCACTCCTCAGCATCATCCTGTTCCAGTGGCAGTGCCAAACAGAACACCTCAGAAACGTGGTAAGTTCAATGTTACTGATTTACAGGTTATATGTAGTATGTATAATTAGCTTATAGAAAGTATTAAGTAACAAATTTATATTAGTACCAAGTGACTGTATTTAATTAATTCAGTTTTGAACTGAACTCAGAAATGAGGTGAAAGTCAACTTCTGATGAACATTTACTTTTAACTATAGTAGTATGATACTAACAGTTCTTTTTTACAGCTCCTCATAACATATAAACATGAGATATTTGTTGTAGGGACAATATTTAAATATATTCTAATCTTATTAGAATGGAGGAAAAGAAATAATTGAGGGAATTGTCAGAAAAGTATTAAGTAGATGGAAACCATTTACCGATATTGACTAATATGAAATCGTTTACTGATATTGACTAATATGAAACCATTTACTGATATTAACTAATATGAAACCGTTTACTGATATTGACTAATATGAAATCATTTGCTGATATTGACTAATATGAAACCGTTTATTGATATTGACTAATATGAAACCGTTTGCTGATATTGACTAATATGAAACCGTTTACTGATATTGACTAATATGAAACCGTTTACTGATGTTGACTAATATGAAACCGTTTACTGATATTGACTAATATGAAACCGTTTACTGATATTGACTAATATGAAACCGTTTGCTGATATTGACTAATATGAAATCATTTGCTGATATTGACTAATATGAAACTGTTTGCTGATATTGACTAATATGAAACCGTTTGCTGATATTGACTAATATGAAACCATTTACTGATATTGACTAAAATGAAACCATTTACTGATATTGACTAATATGAAACCGTTTACTGATATTGACTAATATTTACTGTATAAAAAACAATTTTTGCAGCTACCTTATGGTGATAAGTTATATTTATATCATCTAAATATATTTAAAAGTACAACTAAGTAATTTTATGGTTTTGATAATTAAGTTTATGTTGTTTCAGAGAAAAATTACAAAATTCGTAATTGTCAAATAAAAGTCTAACTTTTTCAATTTGAAGTATGAATTACATAGTTTTGTTTAAATGTACAAATGAGAGATGTATTACTAAATGTGTTAAAAGTAGTTTGAAAAGTCTTCTAGAAAATATGTTCAAGAGTTCTCTGATAAATGTTACTAATTACATAAAGTTCTGTGAGAGATATTGCTGAACCCAGGCAAAAAGTATCGTGAGTAGATATTTGATTAAAAACTGACAGGAAAGTGTGAGGTTTAGCATTGGATAATTATATATATATATGGAGTTAAGGTTAGTTTGATTTTATTTTCTATGATGTTAGATAATTAGTAAAAGGTCAACAGTAGTCAGTTTAAAAAAGAAAAGTCTCTGTCTGTTGATCTATCTATATAGATATATTAAGTCAAGTAATTAAAAGCTTTTTCATCTTTATAGCAAACTAGCTCCAATTTTTGAAGTAGATACATGAACTTGCACATTACTTTTATAAAATTTTAAATGATTTTTGGATATTTGAGTTCTCTGTCATTTACTTAAATAAATTTGGTAAACTTCATAATTTAGCTGTCAAAAAATCTGATGTTTAGACTCACTTAAACTATCCTTATGTAAAGTATTTAAGAAGTAAACAATAAACAAAATGTAGCTTGCCTTTTGTAAATGTTTTTTTTGAATATTATTTTTATATATGAACTATGTTTAATGGTAGTCACGTTGTATTTATTTCTATTTACAGTTTCCAAAACTCCTATCATCATCATTCCAGCTGCAACAACTTCTTTAATAACCATGTATAACGTCAAAGATATTCTGCAAGACTTGAGGTACTATCCTTTTGTCAAAACTAATTTCAAGGCTTAACCTGATTTATTTTTTAGTACTCTCTTTTAATGTTAAATATATTATCACTCCCGTAGATACATATAGACGTAGAGTCGAGTGCTTTATATTAAAATTATTTTGAATGTGTAAATCAGCAAGTCACATGACAACCACAATTAATATAATGTCGTGGTTCAGTAGAGTGGCATCTATGTAGATTTTTTGTATGTGAAAGGCTTATATTGTTTCTTGAAAGACTGCTAAGTTTCTGAAGATATACACACACTATATCAAAAGTTAGTATTATCAAATCTATAAAGACTATATAAGTACAAAAAGGTCGCGTGGTCGAGAGCCCGTGTGGAGATGGTTAATTAGTGTGTGGATATCATCACTATGCTACCTCAAATCTTGAAGACAGTACAAAAGTTCTTCAGTCAGTGCAGTCATGGCTTTAGCTGAATGTAGCTTTTCAGTTTATCAAACCACACCATATATTTTCAAACCAAATGGTTTACGTGGTACCTCTTTTTACCTTCAGATATACCAACAGATAATGATGACAAAATATCATGGGAAGCATATTTGAGCTATTTTGTAATTATTTCTTATTTATATGGGGCATAGTGAGAATTACTTGTTTATTCCATTGCCTACAGTAAAAAACTAACCTTAAAACCATATACAACTTAACACATGTAAACAGGAGGATAATAAGATATTACTGACTGATTTTTCTTTTAATATTTTGTTTAAAATGTGACATCATAAGGAGATTTCTCATGATGTAAAGAGAAAGGAAGAAATCATGGCTAGTTCTTGCTTATTGCCTCATGACTAATTAAGTCATTGATGCTACTTGATATGAGGCTATGCATGTCTGACAAAAGTAAAGTAAAAGTATTACTTGGAGGGAAACTGTTTGAACTTTATATTGCATCTCCAAGGTTGTTAATAGAAAGCTCAGTACATTTGCCTGAAATGATCAAATCATCAGGATAATTGAGTTGTTTTGTTTTCTACCCTGAGCGAATGTCTGAGTGTGTATTATGACTGCTTATGTGGATTTGCTACACTATAGCTATTATCTGAAAAATCATATCTTGTATCATTATTCCAAGAAAAATCACTCTTAAATGGAGTTTATTTCTTATGTGTGAAATCACAGATGTGTTAGGCACTGAAGTGAGTATTTTTAATGAATAGATGCCAGCCTTCTTAAAACATCATGTTGATTTATTTTTGTTGAGGTCAACAAAAGCCTTGTCTGGGTGCTGAGAGGGTAGGCTATGGCTTTCTTAGGCCTACCTGTGCTTACATCACTTATATGTTTCATCAAACCAGAAATAAGCTACATTGGTATAGAAAATGATCAGTGATTTTGTGTTAAAACATGGGCTACAAGCAAGATTACACTCTGATCAAATACATGCTTTTTTATGTTAATGCTTTTTTGCTAAAATATGTAAAATCTTAGAAAACAACAAACCTAGTTTACAATCCTCTTTAGTTGTGTGGTTGGAATGGTAAAATGATACAACTGTATAGTGCTGAATCAACTGATTGTGTATCTGACAGAGGATGTATGATGAAGGCTTATCACCCATGATAAAAAAAAAGAAGTGCAAAACATGATGCTACAGATTATTCTTCAGCAATGCTCATACTTTTTTAATTGGCTTCATCTGTGGTTGATTTGAAGGTGATAATGAATCCAACAAACTTACAGATAACATGATTCACTTTAGGGATTCTGTGGCTACTGTCTATGAGTGAGCCAGTGAAAACTTCAGTCAGCTGGTGACAAAATTAAAAGACAATATTATGCTAGTGCTGGTAAATCCAAATTTCAACATAGTAACACAATGCAACTATACAATATATAAAAAGAAGATATATTATCATATATTGATATTTTTGAGGGTTTAAAGACATTTGCACTTTGTACAGTATTGATCCACATTGTTTACTATGTTGTAGTCAAGAGATGCCATTATTGTATAATGTTTACTTCATTGTCATTCAATTGACAAACTTAAGTTTTGTTATAAGAAAAGAAGGTATATTGAACTCAGTTTGGGTTAACAGGTTGTAATTCAGAAATGCTACTCATCTCTCTGCACCACAAAGAGCTATTACCTCATGCACATTTCTGTGTAAATTCCTGGGCATGCCATAAAACTTGAAAAATGCTCCAACCCTACATGTGCTAATGTGTATTAAGCTAGCATATGATTAAATCATAATTAGACTATAGCCCTCCATCAGCAGTAAAGCAACATCTGCCATGTGTAGTAATTCTCATGAACACTAGCATGTGAACACAGGCTTATTCTTTCCTCTGCACTGCTTGGCTTCAAACATGATTTTTTAATAATATTTACTAAATTTTTTGTGCTTATTGTTTTAACCTTTAATAACTACTCATTGTTTGGTCTTTCTTTCCTTAATTTTCCTGATTATCTGAAAATAAAATTGTTCTTATATTTTAATCTATCTCATTAGTACTTTCATTTGACTTATCTTCAATTTGATTTTCTATTAATCAACATTGTAATTTTGGGGAACTATCCCATTGTTTAATCCAACATACAGCTTATGTCTAGTGCTCTTCAAGGTCATCATTAGGCTTATGCACCATTGCCATAACTTGCCCATTTTATTTCTAACTGATAAAGAAAAATGGATCACCATAACATCAGTTTCATGGTTTAACTGCTCTATGCTTTTATGTTCCCACTTTTCTGACATCTCTTGACATTTTTAATGCTTCTTTACAGGAGTCATCCAATACTGTAATGGTGACTAGAGAAACACTGATTGTCAATGATATTAACGTTATTGTACACTACATAATTGGTTCATTTCTGATCTTGAATCCAGAATCCACTATCTTGTGAGTGTTTCATCACCATTTTTGTTTCCATGCATACTTTTGCTTCTTGTTCTCTCTTCCCAACATGCATCAGGTAATCCCACAATTTTTGCCCTTCACTGCTTGTATTTCACAAATACATGTCTTTTGTTTTATATTTCCCCAGTGATTTTTTTGCTGATTCTCAGACTCCTTTGTTTCATGAGCCTTCTTCATCTGAATCTTTTCTTTCAGTTTAAAGGTATCCTCTTTTTCCATCCTTTTTATTATCTCCATCTACTCATCTTTATGTCTTCCTCAACTTCTCTGTTCATTCTTATGCTTCATTTTCATTTGGAGGTTTTCAAGTTTACCAGGGCAACTTGTACTAATGTATTTTCCAACCTGCCCTCAGTTTTCTTCCATTTCCTTTGTTTTTTGTTTCTAGAGTGTCCTTTGTCAGGTTGCATTACTTCCTGACTTTTGCCTCCTTCAGTTTTCTCTCTGGGACCTCTCTCTTGCACCTGTCCTTTGTTGTGTGGTTTTTTGGGGAGTATTTCGTATATGTTGGCATCTTGAGCTAATGCACTTCAACAGTCACATCTGCTTACTTTGTTTGTTTTTTATCCTTGTGGTCTTGTGAGGTCGCCCACTCTTCTGTTCCTTGTCCTCTTGTTACTATTCATGGTCCTCCTCCTCTTTGAGGACTGGTCATTAAGAGTATTGGAGGTAGTTCATTTCTGGAGCTACTCCTAAGCTCTGGTCCTGTGAGAGTTCTGCTCTTCCACTTTTTCCATTGGTAGATTCCTTTTTCTACAGCCTATTTGAGCTCTTCAGGTGCTTTCTCTGCACATCATGAGACAATTCCTTAACTTCATTCTGGAGTTTTACTGCTGTCATTTTTTCATTCCCACAGAGATGGAAGGTTGCAGTCCAAATATAAGTATATCCCACTTGACCCAATTTTGATCCTTCCTTGCTTCCCAATGGGCAGTTTTTGAATTTTTACTCTCTGGTGATACTCTTGCAAGTGGTGGATGACCTAACTTGGTGTCTCAGACACTTTCTTCACATACTGATTTATCTTTCTTCCTTATGGTTCCTTTGATTGGCTACTGCTCAATCTTTTTTATTAAGTCTAGTGGAATAATAGGCATCTAGAATGGAATCTCTGAGTAAAAACCCACAAGACAATTCCTAAACTCTCTTCTCCTTCAGGAATTGTCTTGTTGGGGATGGCTGGTTGGCTGATTGCCATTTCAATCTCAACCCCCTACCCTGTATTTTGTTCACATGAAGGAGGTTCTCTATTTGCATGCAGGGCAGGTTCAGTTTAATATCCAATCTTAGACTCTACAGCTGTAGCTGTGGATGTTTTGTGTCTGTGTGGTTCAACCTTTTTGTATATGCTTTGAAAATATTTCTTTCCCTTTTCTCTTGTGGAAGCTATCTCTTACTTTTGTCTTGCCCTCCTCCCACACTATTTACCATAGGCTCATCTTACTGAACCACCCCAAATAATTATAGATCACTGTGCTTAATGACAATAGTTCATGCACCTCTCTGTTGTTCTCCCCTGTAAAAAATACCTCCCCCCCCATATTTTATAGTGAAGTAAGTGAGAACCCTTGCTTCTCCAGTCCCAAGTCGCTGGAGTAGTTTACATGGAGAGTTCCTCACTGGGTGATGCAATCTCATTGGTATGACACTGAATGAATGCACCCTTCATTTGAGAAATAAGGCTGGAGTGTTATCTGGTAGTACAGTACAGAACACCACACTACATTATAAACCAAGCCATTCCGAATGGTTAGGTTCAGCCAGATGGGTTTTGGGCTCACCTTGAGACAGGGTTTTGGATGCTGCTTTTTGCACCTGATTTTTGTGCTGAGTATCTTACAAAAGGATTTCTCCAGTATGGAATGTCCTGACTTATAGTCCTAGTTACACAACACACTCATTCTTTGATTCTTATGACAGTAACTTTTGCTCCACCACCTCTATTGAGTGAAGAGTATTCCCTGCTCAAGATGGATATGGTCTCGTACCAAGTACTACCCCATAGGCTATCCCCTCCCCACCTCATGGATGTCACACTTCATGGGCTTTCCTTTTCTGTGCTGTTTTCAAAATAGTGCTCACCTTTGTAACTTCTCAACAATAACCATTCTACCATCTTCAGTGTGGGGTTCTACCTCTTTTTGGTGCAGATAGGTGAGTAGTGTTTCTGAAGTTAACATTTTCCTTACCTGAAAGTGTATTATTTCAAATAGATATTCACCTTTCTTCACCACCTCTTACCCTTCCTCCTCACTGCTGGTGCATTTGCTTTGCTTCATCAAGAATGAGTCTGTATTTGTGTGTGAGTGCTCATGGGGATTAGTGTGCATGGAAGGTGTTGCCATCCTTTTGGAGTAGAGAAATAGTTTAATGATGATTACATCATAGGCTTGCACAATACATGTTAACATGTGTAGGAGTGGGAGCTTTGTTTAAGTCTTGTGGCACACACAGGAATTTACATGGCAGTGCATGTAAGGTAATAACTCTGTGGTGTAGAAATGTAAGTATCTATCTGAAATACATTTTCAGGTAAGAAAAATGTTAATTTTTGGAAAAATAAATGTTGTGTACTCAGAAAAGAAATCATTGCTATTCTCAGGTTGGAATATTGAGTAAGTCACATAGTCAGGAGAGAGGGTTGGTAGAAGTGTACTATTAAAGCAATCATATTTAAGTCATCACAAAAATAGAAATTGTAAAGTGAGCAGTCAAAACATTGTAGTGACATAAAGATTTTAAAATAAATATACATTAATACATTGATATACAAAGTAGATACATTCTTGGAGCTTCATTCTTACAATGAAACTTTGTGTGTTGAATAGCTTATAACATTATTATGAAGATGCATTCACAGTCATCATAACTTACCATTTCATACTATAAACAATTCATAACTACATTAACTTGTTTTATTATATATATTATTTTAAAACAAGTGAACTATGTGCTGTTTGTTTGTGGACATTTATTGCCAACAGGTCACAGACACCTGTTGTAAACAATCTTGCCCAACACATAAAATCTGATTGCTGATACAAATGTTAACAAATAATATATGACCATCTCAATGTGCAACGCTTAAGAATCCATATAATTTTATTCTTATTTATATTGTACTGTAAATCAATAAATTTGTTATTTATTTATTCATTTCAGTGTAATTATTTATTATTTTACTTTATTTATAGCTTTCTGTGTAAACTAATGGATAAAAATCCAAAGTTTGTTAAACTGAAACTTCATTTATCAAATATAAGCATATTGAGGTATTACTGTATTATTACATTGATGTAACTTACGAATATATTGTTCACTTGAATATCATATATGAAAGAGTAGATATGGGAACTCGTGTTAGTGGCTTAGGAAAATGCCTTGAATTTTTTTTTTGTTTAGATGTAGATGCTTTAAAAATAAACTAGACTGAGTGTCATGAATTTCATGAATAAGCATTTCTATTAGAGTTTAGAAATAAAAATACTCAGATTTTTAAACTAAATTATTGGTGTAAGTTTCTTAAACTTTTATGTATTTCTGTAATAGGTACATTACCTCAGAAGAGAAGAAAAATCAAGGTTGTAAAAGAGAAAATGAAGTTCTAATTCAGAGGAGAAAGGATGTAGGCCTTACAGTTCCTTATCGTGTTATTGATAATCCACTCAAACTTGCTCCAGGTGATTGGTAGGTATCTGTTTTCATTTTAATTGTTATTGTTCATATTTATTTTAATATACTTTTTGTTTATGTCCTAGAAAGTTACAGTTTTTTTTTATATACGTAAAAGTCTTTAGTCCTTACTTAGGTTTTCCCAAGCATATTTCACATTATTTTAAATTGAAGTAGCATTATAACACTTACATACTTGTTGCTGCATTGAATGTTTTTTTAATGGTAGGTTTCTGTTTTTTTTTTTTTGTGACTGTAGGGACCGCGTAGTGGCAGTTTTTGTTCAGGGACCAGCCTGGCAATTTAAAGGTTGGCCATGGGATGGAAACCCAGTGGAAATCTTTGCAAGAAGTAAGTGTGTAGCAGTTTTTTAAGTACACAGAGTTAATGCTATTCACCACTGATTTTGTATTTATACTGATAAGTATACAAGTTATGATATAACTTTAAGGATGTTATAAAACATTTGACCACGTGTACACATAAGTATGGAAGAAGCAAAAACCAGTTAAGGGATTTTTAACAGGCTTTTCTCCCTCAATACTTCAAATACAGTTGAAATATTTTAGCTAGTAATCACTGTTCTTGGTTTTAAAAGTGGCGAGAAGAGAACTAAAGACTATTTTTTGGTGTTAACTTTTTGAGCAAAAAAAAAGACACAGTACACACACACACACTTCCATGATTTTCAAAGCCCTGCCCTTATAGCTGTTTGAAATGTGCTCTGTTAATACCATGACACAATGTTAATTTTTCATTTATATTATACTTCATATTTTGTAGCATTTGTGATGTTACGGTTGTGAAATTTGAAATGATTCTCTGCTTCAGATCTTCCAGGTGTTTGATGTATTCCCAAAAGAAAATAAATGGTGTAAGATCAGGAAATTTAGGATCTTACACACAATGGAATCAATTACATCAACACAAATTATTGCATAAAATGGAAAAGGGACAGTTAGGGAACACAAATGTGATTTTAACACTCACTAGGGACATCTTTCTCTGCGCATATCTTGAGATTTTAGTGAATTACATTGAAAATTTCATTAAACCACTTTCTTATCATGGTATATGAATAAATTTAGCATAAATTTGTAGCTAATGATCAAAATTTAAATATTATGTAAGTTTTAAGTTCTTAATTTTCTAAGGCAATATTTAAACAAAAAATCCTGGATTTCTCTTAGTATGAAAATTGTGGCATTTGATCTCTAGGTTCCCCTCTTTAATTTATTTACCACTCCTCTGAGAAGTACGACATTTAACGTAAATTACTCACTACAATGTTGTCATTGCTCAGGCAAAACATAATTTTTATAGCTTTCAATCTTATTTGGTTACAGAGCCAGAAAATAAAAAATCAGACCCCTTCTGCCATGCCAACCTCTCAAATTCTCTCTTTCAGAAATTTCCAATAGTTCTCTTTTGTGTTTAATATTATATTATTTATAACCAATAGAAAGCCAAGGTTTTAACCTGTCAAATGATTTATTATACTACATTGTTTTCTGTACAGAAAATTGTCTATTTTGCTTCCAGTTCAAACTTTATTCCCATGGGAAATGCATCAGTGAGCTTAGCTACATTTTTAACAGATCTTGTTTCATAATTGGAAAGCCAGAAAAATTGTGATAGTTATGGGACATTGTCTGCTTTTTGCATGTTATTATTCTGTGTTCTCTGTTGCAATATTTAATTAAATAAAAACTTATTTAGTACAGTAGTACCATTAGTATCAAAAAGTAGGGTTCAGTATCATGACAGACACCAGCAGAAAAACAAACTGTGAGCTAAATATTCACTAAGTGATTTACAACTTATATGGTGCAAATATGAATTAGACACAGTTGAAAAGGTAATAAAAATAAAATTTAAGTATAAACAGATGTATACTGTTATGAGTTTAAAGATTTAAAAGATAAACAAATGTTGTTTCATGTTACAATTTGAAGTCATTCTATAAAGAAAAAAAGGGTAATTTAGATTCATTCGCCTTTTTTTTTTTCATGATTATGAGGTCAGTCAAATTGACCAACCTTATATAGAGTTATGGTAGAGAAAATAGCTGATAGATATAAAGCTTTACTGAAATAAAAACGTTGGAAATTTATTGAGGAGGTTTAAAAGATTACACAAATAAAATTTGAGATTTTTCGGAAGAAGAAAAGTATTTTTAATTTTAACATGAAATTCACTTTGCACTCGGAGCAGTCAACACTTTGACTTCATTTGTTCATGTGAAAATTTTTAGTAAAATGTTTTTTACTATGTTTACTTAAAGCCTGCAAAATTTTGTGAAGATTCACAAAACATATTAGAACTTGTAGTATGGATATGCTAAAGATGAATTTTTAGGTCAAATTGACCAAGCCTATAGTGAAAGAGTTAATACCAAAAAAATTCATACAAAGGAAAGGAATTAGTAATATCTTTTTGGTATACTCAACTTCTGCATCACCATGTTGAAACAAAAGATATTACCATTAACACCTAAGGCTATAGTCATTACTCATTATTCCTTTGTAGATGAACAGATTAATTTGTAGTAGTTTAACTAAAGCTGCAAATAACTTCACATATTATCTCATCCATTAACCTTAATATCTGTATTTTATGAAATATTCATTTTGTATTAATATGTAAAGATGTACACATTAAATTAAAAATTGTTATGGCTGCAGGATAAAAGGGCAACGTTGCTGTGCTCTATTGTTTTTACTGGATCTGAAAAGTGTGTCTTGAAGCCAATGTAGCATATATTCAACAACACTGTTGTGAAGCTACACAAGTATAACTCCAGTTATAATATTATTAGTAAACCAGTGGAGCATGTGTTATTTGAAAATGTGGAATATGATGCTAGGTATTTTTAATGGGATATACAAACAAAAATTATGTAGCTTTTGTTAATATATACTTTGACTATATTACTTTTTTCAACCCTCACCATTCAGTAATTTACTGGAGCTGTCTATAGCTTCCTCTATCTGTCAACTAAATTTAAAGGATACACTTAAATATACGATTAAATATGTTTCAGCATAAAATTAAGACATATAGAAGTAATTGACTATTTTGTTAGAGTAATAACTTGTGCTGCCAAGTGTCTGTATTTTTGAATATCCATAGGAATGCATTGAAATATCCAGAAATATAGCTGTCAAGCTGTTAGTTCTGCAATACGTCTGATGGTTTATAATGTTCAAAATCAGGTTACTATACCCACAGTGGGCACAGCTTTGTGTTTGATAATAAACAATCAGTCAGTGGTTGTTGTGAAAATATATATTACAAGTTGAAATATCTGTCAACTGATGGGGAATGTTTAAACTTAAATTAAACAATATAAGTTTAACAGCAATCATCTATTTCAAAGTAATAACTTGAACATAAACTTTATCTCAAAATTTTAAAATTATAACAAAGCTTCTTCATAAACAACATTTCCAGTTTGTTTTACATCTACCAACAAATAAAGATTTTGAGGTGATCCCACCCTTGAACACCCTACATTTCACTGATCATGAGAAAAGCATGGTTGTTTGAGAAACAATCCAGCAACTTTCATACTTTGACCTTGAATCCTTTTAGAATATTCAACATTGTCTAAATTGTCAACCTGCCAAGATTGTTTGAGATTGACTCAATAGGCTGGAAGTAATTAACCAACAGGTTTTACAAAATAGAAATAGGGTTAAGTTCAATTTTGACCTCCTTAGGACATTCCCCATAGTTCATATGTTTACATACAAATTTTGGTTGAGATTGACCTAGTAGGCTCAGAGGAATTAGGGCGTAAACAAACACATATTTCGTCTTAATATATTTAGATAAGGTTATTTGCTAGTATTATACATAAATACTAACAAATATTTTTATATTATATATTTATACAATATAATTATATAACATAATTTTATCTTCTTAACAAATATTGCAAACATTATTTAATTTTTTTAATAATTTAGTTTTTTTTATTCAAGTACTGAATACTGAGCATGAAGTCCCAAGTGCAAGTCTAGTAGTTTAGTAGCTTTCATTCTCAACTTTGCCAAAATAATAGTTAAATTTAATTCAACTGAATCAGTTTAATAAGTTGTCATATTTGTAAATACATAAAATCTACAAATATTTCTACACATTTTAAAATGTTGTAATGAAGAAATCTGGATATCTTTGGCATTAAAGGGACATGCTGGTATATGTATCCTCAGATTTTATACCACCTCCACATGACTTCTGTTGACCTTGGTGCACTTCTTCAGGCATCTACACCACTTGTCAAATGAATTGATAAGCACCTGTTCTGGAATTGAATTAGTTGTTTTCCTGATATGATCCTTATGATTGGTGTCTGTAGTTATATAAAAACATAGACTTGATGTGACCTCAACAGATCAGGCCTGAAGCTCTTCACTTACATCATTCATCATCAAGAAAGCATCGCTTTTCCTGTCTCTTTCATGCCTTTCCCCAGTGCTTGAAATTCAACAAGCCTATCTTTGCACAACCAAAGTTTCAGGAAAATCATTTACTTTTCTGCTAAAATGCTCAAAAATAACCAAGAAAGGGGCGAAGAGAAATAACTTTAATTTCTGAACACCCCTGGTTATCAAACCTAAATACCTACCATTATTGGATTTGGATTCGACCTCAACAGCCAAAAGTTCAATGGTATTAGCTTTGGAGAGCATGGGATTTAGACTTAGTTTTTTTTTTTGCATGGAAGACGATAGAGATTTCATCATGAAACAGTATATAAAACATTGGTTTATAGTGAGTCATGCATGTAATCCTGACTGATGTGTAGATTTTTCTCTCTCTAGATTTGAAGTTATGTTCCACACACAAATGGAAGGTTTAATTTAATCGATCAGGATAAATGCCATGAGGCTACTTTTCTCTTCAAGCAGCTATTGCATCATCTGAGTTTTGAACACATAAAAGTCTAGGTAATGAACCAGAGGTAATAGGGGATTTTAGATACTGGATCTAATTAGTATGTCTTGTAACCAGGTATTATATTCAACAACACTGTTGCTAAATGTCTCAGACAATGTGGGATCACTTTGAAGGCTGTAGAGTTTACCAGTATGACCTTCTATACCTGATAGGAGATATAGCAATGATAAGGAAGGATAATAGGAAGCATTTGTAAACTGTTAACTATAGGAGGATAGAGCAAGTCTTTATGAAATGGTTTTTAACTCTATCAGTAGATTTGCTCAAGTAAGAAAAATAGGAATAATTGGGGGTATTAATTAAATTGTTACTTTTGTGGGCTGTGTTGTAAGGTCATTATCATTTCTGAAACAGTGACATATCAAAGGCCATGCACATCCATGGTC